GTCTATTTTCTTCTTTGTCATCGATTGTCGCCATGGCTAGAGAAAGTACGAAACACAAATCTGATAAGAGAGACCCGATTAGCAAATACGTCAACTTGTCTTGTGACTAGATATATTGGCCAACTTCACCACGCTGCTCTCGGAAACGATGAATGCAATTTGCTCGTTTCCAAGCGGAAGAGAATCCGTATCACCGGAACACTTAAAATTTCAAATTCACCTGTAAAGCTGACAAGTTTCATTTCGTTTTTGTTTCCTTTAAGCTGGTGTCTCCATCAGTTGAAGTTTTTCCAAAAAAGATACAGAATGTTCTTCCTGGCAGTAAGAAACGTTTCCGATCATTTCCTCATCGTCGAACAAAAAAAATCATTATCATCATCATGGCCTTTGATCAACTCGGAGGAACTTGGACTGCGACAAAATTGACATTAAGTTCTTGTGAATAATACATTAGGGGAGTCTATTTCATCGTTTTTGCAACTTAAGACGACTACAGCGAATAGTGAAACGTCTATTTATTTACACACCCTGTAATCTATTATTCTTTCACTACATTTGATAGTTAAACCTTTTGCTTTAGCTGTCAGAGAAAATATTTATGCTTATTTTTAAACCTTCAATTTCCCAGGTCGGTACTCAGTTCGCTTCAGGTGCTAATTTCGTCGAATTTGATTTAAGCCAAAGGACGGACTACTGAAATAGAATTCCAGTTGGTATGCAACGTCATTTTAAAAACAAACATCGCTGACCTTTCAATTATTTGCATAACTACTTTCGATTCGTTCTCCCTAGTTTATCGTCGTCAAGTTTGGCTTCACAACTCCTGAAATTCTGTTATCTACTGAGGTTTTTTTTTTTTATTTAGCTCCTTAGGAACTATAAAACATTTCGAAAGAACAAAAAGACGAGTTAACAAGTTACCTGAAAAACTTGATGATTCAAAGAGAACAGAATTAACTGAACACAACACAGTACCCCGATAAAATTCATAAATTTACTCAAGATCGAAAGCGCAGTTCAGCTATGGAAATAATTCAAATTTCGACCCTGTTATCGGTGTTTGTTATGTCTTAAANGGGTGGATCGAAGGGTGGTTTATTTTTTAGCACGTTTTAAGAGTGATGGGTATTGTTTAGCTGTGAGCCCCGTTTCCTTTAATTGGTAGAAAATGGGTAGACGTGGATAGAAAATTATAGCAGGAATATCAGATGATTTCACGGTCGGCATATGAAAAATTGTTGGTCTCGTTCACGCAGAGGTAAAGTGTAAGGGGTTCAAAAGTAATGGATGGCTAATTGCGTTTACAATTTCACTGATTATTTTTAGTGGAAGCAAAAGTCTACATTACTCTAACAATGCTGGTTTCATTAAGAAGCGTTGCATCGTGACTCATCTAAATGCATCTGTTACCAGAGCTTTTTACCGTTTCTTTTTTGTTCTATCTGTTACTGTGCCTTTTGGGTCGTTAGTTTACAGCAGTTATTTGTCGTATTACACTTTGAAAAGGGCTTATATAATCCTATTTGTAGCCTCATTATGTCCGTGTGGGGCCTGGATACTAGCCTTTCTGATTATCTTGATGTGCTTTTTTCGGTTTTAAAGATATCAATGCGATTTTCTCGGCGCCGCAGTAACCAATCCTTAGGCTGGTTTGTATTCTGGCCTCACCGTGACTTTCCCAGCCAGGATGTATGCCCTAAAAACTCAAACATTATTCAAAGGAGCCTTCTCCGGACAATAAAAAATAGAAAAGAGTTCTATGTATGACAGCAGATTTGAAGATTGAAATATTTAACTCATATGCCGTTTGAATTGATCACTTAGGCCGCAGGGATGGAAATATCAGGCTTCTACCAATTACCTCAGTCTGCATCCCCCGCTAATTAAGGATTGGAGCGTTTGAAAAGACGAACAATTAACAATTGCCTAGTCATCGGTGAATTACAACTTCTGCCTATGGCTGTTTGCGCTCAATAACGCTCTGTAAGTTGCATCGCTTGTGTGATTCATGCAACTCTCACTTAGCTTAGCGATACTTTCTAAAATAGACATCACTTACGTTTGCTAAGGCAAACTAACCACAACATTTCAGTCTGGTCATAGGAGTAAGTTACTACTTGTGTCACTTGTTATTTGCAATGAATTGTGCACGGAACAATTTTCATATTGGTGGGTATCGTTTACCTTGATATTCAGGCTTAAATATGGGACGAAGGGTGGTGATAAACTGAAATTTTCTTGTATTGATTGATTCTTTCCGCCCTTATCGTTCGCAGTGCGATGGGAAATACTTTATCAAACTTAGTTTGCCAGGTGACATACGTTCCTAAGAGCCGGACTATGATACTCCAGTGTTTGGCATGTATATTGCCAGGGATGTTTAGCACGACTGACTCACGCGCAGGAAGGCGGAGTTGTGATATCGAACCGGTACAATCGGAAACAAAAATATAACAATCAATACAACCTCTGGAATACAATATCTGTTTTTTGTTATTTAAGAGGAGGCGGGAAAAATTTACCCCTAGGAAACCAAAAAAATCCATGAAATTAACAAACCACATTCTTCGACAAAGGAAAGAAGCACATGCAGTCACAGTCTACCAGCAGTTGTCACAGGTATACCACCCTTTCCATGAATTGAGTCACAAGAGCAAACTACCAATGGAAAGCATTGTTATTCTTTGAATTAAAAGATTTGACGACTTAAATGTTTAAAAACCTCATGCGTCACGATCTTAAATCCAGTTGTTGTTGTTTTTGTTGTTGTTGTCCAGTTATATGTCATAGAAACGCTCAGTATGGGTCTCGTCAAATCAGGGAAGCTGTTCTCTTTCTCTGGACCTAGTAGAGTTCATAGACATGTTTTTGGATTAAATGCTGTTTTCAAGGCCACATTTTCAATGGTATTTCCTTTGTAACTGGGATTACATTTACACCGGCCTTGCTTCACTGCACTCTCTGTGTGTCTAAGTAATCCGCGCGTCCTTTGTCCTTCAATCCACGCTATTCCGTGTGACCTCTCATTGGCTCTTTTTGTTAATTACTTTTTCTCTGATTGGCTGTTGTAATTACTTTGCTTTGCGCTCTCAGTAACGTGCATTTTGATGAAAACGGTGTCGCAATTCCCCCAATTAAGTAGTATTTCTAAGATTATCGTTTTCATGGAGTATCAGCCCCTTCGTCTCAGGAAACGGTGGACTATTAACACAGCGCACGGCTCTTTAACACAGCGCGAAAGTCGAGTAATCACTTGATACCTTAACCAAAGTATTTACTAAGACATAACCAGGTTTCCATCAAGATCGTAATGAAAATAAATGGTTTACACACGCGTGATGGCACACTTCGCTCAAAACTGACCATGAAGAAAAAAGTTTTGGATGCATAAATTTCGCGTGATATGAATTTTTAAGGTCTCCCTTCCCTGGTGGCACCACCCTTTTCGACTGTTTGCTCCCAGCATTATGAAGAAGCAGTAATACGCTACCTTTTAGCGGAACCCATTTAGTTCTGATCAAGCCTATTTCAGGCTCTCTGTCAGTACAAGGATGAGAGGTTGAAGATGAGTGGACGAAGAAAACAGAAAACGAAGAAGTCATTTAACGTTAAAAGCGGACCGAATTGTAAGGTTTTTCCATGCTTGGGACAGCTCGATTTAGTATCAGTTTTCGGATTTGTTTATTTGCTGTTGTTTTTTCACGACCACGACAGTCCACAGCCAACTCCGAAACATCAATATCTCGTTTGCAACAGACTGAGTTACTTCCTCCTCACCTGTTCTGTTTACCGCCAGTTGTGGCTACACACTACCAGGAAACTGTTCCATATTTTTCTTGTCTATCTTGCACCTGACCGTACGGCGGCCCACAGGGGCAGTACAAAAATATTTATCACAGTGCAAAGATATATATTCCAGTACAAAAATATCAATTTCAGTACAAAAATATTTATCCCGGTACAGAAATATTTATCCCAGGACAGAAATGTTTATCTCAGTACAAAAATATTTATCACAGTACAAAAACATTTACCCCAGTACAAAAATAATTTTGCAGTACAATAGTATTTTTCCAGTCTCTTTACTTGTCATTATCCCAACAGTAATTGTGACTTCTTTTTCTGGCTCTAGTTTGCTTTTCTTTGTCTTGTTTGTCGATTTTTCTCGAAAAAACGAGCTTCTCTCGGACCCCTTTTTAGCTTTGTACGACTTAAAGCTTGGCAAAGAAAATTTCCTTGTCTTCGGAGAATCCGGCGGTTAAGTGGTGTTGCTTGTAGACGTTGCGGGTGATGCTACAAGGAAAACCTCTGTGCCACATTTCGGGCAATACCTGTAAGCTGGATCCACGATTTTGAAACTACAGCAATGGCAAAAACAAGGTAGCCGCCAAAGGTGCCGCCATATTTAACCTCTAGGAGATTACTTCCCACTCCCCACTTGTACTGGAAAAATAGTTTTGTGCTGGGATAAATAGTTTTGTACCGGGATAAATAGTTTTGTACCGGGATAAATAGTTTTGTACTGGGATAAATAGTTTTGTACTGGGATCGATAGTTTTGTACTGGGAAAAATAGTTTTGTACTGGGAAAATAAAATTTGCACTGCATGCCCCTGTGGGCCACTGTATGACCGCCATAACCTTAAATCAACAGGCAGGCGAAGCTAAAAGATGACAAAAACGAAAAAGAAAGCAGGAAAAAGGGAAGCCAATCAGACTAAGATTTACTAGAAGCTACCATCAAAACAATCCTTTATGATAAAGGATCTAATTTGTGTCGGTTCAGACACCGGGGCAAAGTTTGTCGGGTGTAGTAACGACCGGAAAAAGACTGATAACACGTATAAAAAAGCCACGGTGATAGGTAGTGTTTTTTCTTAAAATAACTTTTCAAATTCTACTAGATCCGGCGACCTGCGA